TTTTTTTTTTTTTTTAATATTTATTATTCTGTCTGCGTGTATGCCTGAAGGCCAGAAGAGGTCACCAGACCCCATTACAGAGAGTTGTGAGCCACCATGTGGTTGCTGGGAATTGAACTCAGGACCTTTGGAAAAGCAGGCAATGCTCTTAACCGCTGAGCCATCTCTCCAACCCCTTACTGTTTTTCAATTACTGTTTAATGAATTCATTTTTTTATTTTATGTGTGAGTGTTTTGCCTCCATGTATGTATTTGCTCCACTTGTGTGCCTGGTGCCTATAAAGATGGAGAGTATTGGATCCCCTGGAACTAGAGTTAAAGATGGCTGTGACTCACCATGTAATTGCTGGGAATCAACCATGTCCTCTGGAGGAGCAGCCAGTGCTTCTAATTGATGAGCTATCGCTTCAGCTCCTGTTTTGCACTTTTTGTTCACTAAAATGTTCATATTAAAAGGTGCTGGTAAGTTTAAAATGTTTTAAAACATTTTTAACCTCAAATTTTTATCTTAGCATGAACTTGCTGTGCATAAAAAGAAAATTGAAGAGGTTGAAGCCTGGTTAAAAGCTGAAGTCTTAAAAATGAAGCCAAAACAGGTAATTAAGTAAGAAATGCATTTAAAATATTTAGCATCATGTTTTTTCTGACTTACAAGATGTTAATCTGTTTTTCTCCTCTTTATTGAGACAATGTCTCACTATATAGTCATGGCTGGCCAGGTTGGCCTCAAATTAACGGAAGTCTGCCTGCCTCTGTCCCTGGAATGCTGGGATTACAGATGTGCTCACTATGTAGCTCAGGCTTCTCTGGAACTGATTGTACAACCTTGAGTTTATCCAAGTTCTGGGGTTATAAACATGAGCCGCCATGCCTGACAAGAAGCTAATTTTTTATGATCACTCTATTTATATGTCTTCATATTAACCTTCAACAGAAGCTTCCTGATTTGTTATTTCCAGCCTCTGAAAGCCTCCTCGAGGGGCCGGAAGATGGTTCAGTGGGTGAAGGTCCTTAGACAACTTAGACAACCTGAATTCATATAGTGAGTCTAGTCTGTTGAGGTGATTGTGTTTTTAGCACATCTCATTATTTCACAGTAAAGCCAGCAGGCAATTTACATAGTAATGGTTTTTTAAAAAAACCTAACTATAACTAAACCTGTTTAGTCCTCAATAATATTAACCTAATGTTTTGTTTCGCTTCCTTATTCCACAATTATTCTTAGCCCTTCCATAAAAGGTACACTATTTTCTCTTCCTCTTTGTCTTCTGAAAGTTTGAGCTCATATCTTCACAATGTACTCCACATTTCAGCCAGGTTTGTTAGTACACACCTTTAATCCCAGAACTCAGGAGAACTCAGACTCAGGAGAATATCTTTGAGTTCAAGGTCAGGCTGTCCTCCACTGCTACTGCAGCCAGCCTACCACACAGTGAAACAACAGGCAGAGCCGTGGGGTGCACGCCTTTCATCCCAGCACTCAGGAGGCAGAGGCAATAGGATCTGTGAGTTCCAGGACAGCCAGGGCTGCACAGAGAAACCCTGTCACAAGAAAGCAACAACAACAAAAACCCCAACAGAGAACCCTGACATTTCAGGCAGACTTTGAGATAGTACATAATACCTCACTTTAACCTTTTGTGTTATTACTTTGAGTGCTCTGGGATCACTTTAGACTTTTACTCCTAATTTATTATATATACCATATTCTGCTTTTTAAAAATTCATGTATGTTTTGTATTTATGATGTATCAAGAAGTGGATGGGTCTGCTTTCTTCTTTGCCATGGTAGAATCAAACATGGTCTTAATCAGCCAGACAGGTACTCTACCACAGAGCTACATCCTCAGACCTTTGTTATTAAAGGAGTTCGGCTTTTTTGTCAGACTTCCTTTGAACTGCCAGCCCCCAAATAATGACATGGAGACTTACTATTGATTATAAAAGCTTGACCTTGGTTTAGGCTTGTCCCACTAGCTCTTATATCTTAAATTAACCCGTTTCTATTAATTATATTTTGCAGTGTGGCTCTTTACTTCTCTTCCATTCTGTATGGCCGACTCCCTCTGCATTTCCCATGTGCCTAGTGTCCCTAAGTTCTTCTCTTTGCCTGAAGTCCTGCGCATCCTCTGCCGCCTAGCTATTGGCTCTTCAGCTTCTTTCTAAACTGATCACAGCAGCACATCTTCCCACAATGTAAACAGACATCCCACAACAGGATCTCACTGCATCCCCCCAGGCTAGGTCTGAATACCACGGACATGAGCATAGCACCAAGCTCTCCCCTGTCACGTTTGATACTGAGTTTGGTCACTAGAGTAGGGAAGAAATAGTCTCACACGTTCATTACAGAATACTTTTCTCTTTCAGCAGACACGTAATCTGCTTCGGTAGCACAGTTCCCTGGTGAACTTTATCCTACATGCTTTAGAGTCCTTTCCTGAACTACTGATTAAGGAAGGCTGTGAGGTGTTTATTTTCAAAATATTCAGTTATTTCTACAATTAGCAGATAGCTTTCTATAAAAGACAGTTCTAACTCTGAAAATCAGCTTAATTTTATCCTTTAATTTTTTACAAAGATTAATTTTTATTTTACATGTGTAAGTATTTTGCCTGATAGCCACAGAGGCCATAACAGGGCATCAGTCCCCGTGAACTAGAGTTATAGATGGTTGTGACCCATACCATGTGATTACAGGAAGTAGAACCCAGGTCTTTTTGAAGAGAATTCAGTGCTTTTAACCACTGAGCCATCTCTCCAGCCCAGTTTTTAAATAGACTTTTAAAAACAACATTGTAAGGTTTCATAGGAAACCTTAGAGATTTCTCTGTACCCTATGCCCTATTAACATTCCCCACCAAGTGGAGCATTTGTTAGTATGAATATTGATGAACTTACATTGACTTGTCTTTAACAGGCTACATCTATTGTTTAGATTCCTTTTAATTTTCATTTTCAGAGTGAAAAAGTTGATGTTTTAGTTGTTTTGAAAGGAACAGATTCTCCTCATTTTTGTGTGTGGTGCCAATATGTACATGGCTTTATCCTAGAGGGTTCCCACCTTTTTTAAAGTTTGAGACATGATCTCACCTTGTAGACCATTCTTATCTGGGGCTCACTATATAGTTCAAACTGTTCTAAACGCTCAGCAGTCCTTCCAACTCAGCCTCCCACTGCTGGGATTATAGGTATGAGCTACCACACCTGACTGTGATATACCTCTTGTAGCAATGGTTTTTTAAAATTTGTTTTTTTTGGTTTTCAAGACAAGAGTTTCTCTGTGTAATCTTGGCTGTCCTGGACCTCACTCTGTAGATCAGACTGACCTCGAACTCACAGAGTAACTTGGTAATTTCTAGATTTATTTTAGTCAAACTTAAATTACCTTTAAAAATTGCCATAGTTGGGCTGGAGAGATAGATGGCTCAGAGGTTAAGAGCATTGCCTGCTCTTCCAAAGGTCCTGAGTTCAATTCCCAGCAACCACATGATGGCTCACAACCATCTGTAATGAGATCTGGTGCCCTCTTCTGGCCTGCAGGCATATACACAGACAGAATATTGTATACATAATAAAAAAAAATTAAAAAAAATTGCTATGGTCTTGGAGAAATACTGCTTAGTGGTTGATTGCATGTGCTACTCCTTCAGAGGACCCAGGTTTGGTTCCCAGAAATCAAATCAAGCAGTTCACAAACTGCCTGTAACTCTAGTCCCAGGGGATCCAGTGCCCTCTTCTGGCCTTTGTGGGCACACATACATGTGACAAGTAAACACATATGCGTAGAATTAAAATAATTTTGGAGAGAAAGTCTTGTTGTAAGCATTCCCAAATTACTTATTATTACAAATATTATTATTATTATGGGGGGGGTTGAGACAAGGTTTTTCTGTGTAGCCTTAGCTATCCTGGAACTCATTCTGTAGAGAAGGCTGGCCTCAAACTCAGAGATCCTTCCTCTGCCTCATGAGTGCCGGAATTAAAGGTGGGTGCCATCACCATCTGGCTACATTTTAGTTTTTCATGGTATCTTTCATTCAAAATATGGCAAAGCAACAAGGCATGATGGCACAGGTCTTTAATTCCAGACCTTTCTGAGTTTGAGGCCAGCCAGTACTACATAGTGAGACCCTGTCTCAACCCCCTGAACCCCCTCCGAAGCAAACATGTTAAAGCTGTGTACCACTAATTGATGGAGTAGTTGCTGTTCTGACTTGTGATTCTGCTGAGAACCTACCCTCTAACTCTCTTACTGGGAACAGAATTTTAGAATGTGGCTCTACTTAGTATTTTAGAATCTAGGCACCAACTATTTCATGAAAAAAAAAAAAACACACGTATCTCCTACACATGAGCTACCTTCTTATTTTAATTGATCTGTTTGTAATAGGAGCCAGACAGTAGTGGCACACGCCTTTAGTCCCAGCACTCAGGAGGCAGAGGCAGGTGGAGCTCTGTGAGTTTGTGGCCAGTCTGGTCTATAAAGCAAGTTATAGAGCAGCCAGGGCTGTTACACAGAGAAACCCTGTCTCCAAAAGCAAAATTTAAAAAAGAGGAAGAAAAAAGTGTAATCTGTTCTCAGTACGACGGTGGTTGTGCTTTGTAAAGTTGCTCAGTTAGAAAATATCAAACTATTGTCCTATTGAAATACAGGAGTAGGGGCCTGGAGAGATGGCTCAGCGTTTAAGAGCATGAAGAGCACTTCCAGAGCTCAGTTCCCAGCAACTATGGTGACTCACAGCCATCTGTAATGGATATGGTGTCCTCTTCTGGCCTGCAGGCATGCATGCAGAACACTGCATGTCCAATAGTAAAAGTAATAGTAATAATAATAAAATACAAGAGTAGATTTCTATAAGCCTCTAGTCAGAATTGCTGTAAGCTTTTTGTCAGACTGTCATTTCATTCTGCTTGTGTTTTAGATTTATGTATGAGGAGGGGAATTAAACCAGAGTATTGTACAGACTAAATAGGTGTTCTAGTGAGCTTCACACTCAGCCCCAGCCTGTAGGGTCTAACTCAGGTCCTCATGCTGTGTAGCAACCATTTTCCTGATTGAACACTCTCCAGCCCCTGCAATTGAATTTTATGAATTCAAATAACCTCTTAAGAATCCTGTGCCCTTTGTAGCAAAAATTTAATTGTTTTAATTTAGTTACTAAGTTGTTTTTGAAAATATACAATATAAGACTTGAGGAATTTTCAGAAGAAAATAATTGTTTCATTTCATCTGTAATTTAGTTTTAAAATGTGTTTATATTACGTATTTAATAGACCTTTGTAGGAATAATAACTACTAAGAAAATTTTTTAAATTGTGTCGCATTCTAGTCATTGTGGTTTTAATTCGTGTTTGTATTTGGTTTTAGGGTGGGTCTATTTTATTAATAACAGGTCCTCCAGGATGTGGGAAGACAACTACTCTAAAAATACTATCACAGGAGCATGGGATCCAAGTACAAGAATGGGTTAATCCCGTTTTACCAGACTTCCAAAAAGATGATTACAAGGAGTTACTTAATTTAGGTAAGTTTTGCTGCAAAGGTGCTGGAGTTACAAAGAAAGCTTTACTTAATGAAACTTCCAGGTCAAGTAGTAAGAGCGCATGTTTCTCCCATGCTCATCAGTTTGAGGAGAAGCTGAGAAAGGCGCCGATAGAAGTAGAGCGGGGTTCTTAGGAGATTAAATTTAAACTCTTTTAAGATAACAAGCTGATTTTTGTGGGTTTTTTGTTTGTTTTTCATTTTTTTGCATTTATTTATTGACTGTATGTTTGTGTATGTTATGTGTATGTACATGTGTGCATGCGCAAACGTGTCCATGCCATGGCTTTCACGCAGAAGTCAATTCTCTCCTTTGGGGAGTCAGTTCTCTCCTTCCACTGTAGGTTCTGAGCCTGCTCAGTTTATGCTGTTTGAGACAGTGTTTCATGTACCTTGGTTTACACTAACTTGTGATCTCCTACTTCTGCCTCCACACGCTAGGATTATAGGCATGTGGCACCACACTAGATTAATAGGATCTCAGATTTTCATTATTTATGGAGTTCCACACTGTAAGGTCTTCTGTTTCAGTGTCAATCAAGTCTTAGAACATGATAAAGGAACTTGCCTCTCAATAAACTAGCTTACATCTCAGCACTTAGGAGACAGATCTCTGTGAGTTCCAGACCAGCCTAGTTCTGGCCATCTAGGGATGCACAGTGAGACCCTGTCTCTAAACTAAAGCACTCCCCTTTAAAAAAAAAATTGCTGGGCAGTGGTGGCACATCTTCCTTCCTTCCTTCCTTTCTTTCTTTCTTTCTTTCTTTCTTTCTTTCTTTCTTTCTTTCTTTCTTTCTTTTTTATTTTGGTATTTTGAGATGGTTTCTCTGTAGCTTTGGTGCCTGTCCTGGAACTAGCTCTTGTAGACCAGGCTGGCCTCGAACTCACAAAGATCCACCTGCCTCTGCCTCCCAAGTGCTGGGATTAAAGGCGTGTGCTATCACCGCCCAGCTGCACTACCTTTAATCCCAGCAATTGGGAGGTAAAAGCAGACTTATCTCTTTGAGTTCATGACCAATTCATCTACATAGTGAATTCCAGGACCGCCAGGGCTGTGTAGTCAAGAGACCCTCTCTCTTAAAACAAAACAAAACAAAGATACAGTAGTGATATCATGATCTCAAGATAGCATTACAACTCCTTTCCTTCCTTCCCTCTTCCAAGATGGTTCTTGAGTCTTGGGAGGGGTGAGAGAGATGTCTTCTTGGGCTGGAGAGATGGCTCAGCTGTAAGAGCACTGGCTGCTCTTTTAACTGCTGAGCCATCTTTCCAGCCCAACAGCTGTTTATTAAGTCAGTTAACTTTGTGATACTTTCATTGGAATAGAAAAATTATTCTTACCGGGCGGTGGTGGCACACTTGGGAGGCATAGGCAGGCAGATCTCTGTGAGTTCGAGACCAGCCTGGTCTACAAGAGCTAGTTCCAGGACAGGCTCCAAAACCACAGAGAAACCCTGTCTCGAAAAAGCAAAAACAAAAAAGAAAAAAAAAAAATTATTCTTGGCCATCATACTAGTCTTTTGAAATGATATCTTATTTTAAATTTAAATTTAAACCATTTCAAATAATTGAAAGATAGTCTTCAATACTGTAAGTTGTATCATTTAAATGAATTTTATGTGTACAATATTTGTATAATATTAATGTATGTAATTTGAAAATAAAGTAATAAATGTATTTCTTTTCAGATTCAAAAGTCTACATAGTTCCATACCAATCTCAGACAGCAGTCTTCAGTGACTTTCTGTTGAGAGCCACCAAGTACAGCAAACTGCAGATGCTAGGAGATGATCTGACAACTGATAAGAAGATAATTCTGGTTGAAGTGAGGACAGCTTTTACAGTGCTGCCAGAGCTCTTGTGTAGACAGTTGTGAGATACATTAGTAGCGGCTTTGTGATAGCAGAGGCCTGAAGGATGTTTCAGTACTCATCAACAGCATAAATAGTGTAGGTTACAGTGGAGGAGCTGTATGATAGCACAGCTTCCAACCGCAGTGCCGTCGGTATAGAAAGCAAAGGCAATCTGTGGAAAGTTAATTTCCTCCCGTGACAATAAATGTCCTTTAATTTCTCTGAAAACTGTGATCAAAATACTTTGGATAAGTAATGTTTTTTCTTGACAAATAAAAGTTTAAAAATAAATAAGCAATGGAATATCACTGAGCTAATACTTGTCCCTTATGTTCAACAGGATTTACCTAACCAGTTTTATCGGGATTCTCATGCTTTACATGAAATTCTAAGGTCAGTGTCATTGGAAACCAGTGTTTCAAGTTCCATATTAGAGGTGGGGTTGTAATTCAGTGGTAGAACGTTTGTCTGGCATGAACAGCTAAATTGCTTGAATTTCAGCATCATCTTGTTATTTTAGGAAATATGTGCAGATTGGCCGGTGTCCTCTTGTATTCATAATCTCTGACAGTGTCAGTGGAGATAACAATCAGCGGTTACTCTTTCCCAAAAAGATTCAAGAGGAGTGTTCTATTTCAAACATTAGGTAAGAAATTGTTCTTATGCTTTGTTTTGTTTTTGTCTTGTTTTTTTCGAGACAGGGTTTCCCTATGTAGTCGTGACTATCTTGGAACTCACTCTGTAGACCAGGCTGTCCCAGAACTCAGAGATCCACCTGCCTCTGCCCCCTGAATGCTGGGATTAAAGACATGTGCCACCATTGCCCAGTTTAAACTATTTTTAAATTAATAATTTAAGCACCATATTTTTTCTTTTTACAGTTTCAACCCAGTGGCACCAACAATTATGATGAAATTTCTTAATAGAATCATGACTATAGAAGCTAGTAAGGTAAGTCTAATTTAAAACTTATATTGTAGCTATGGAAGACACAGCTTAGATGGAGGACACTACTGCTATAGAAATATATGTCTTAGCATTCTCTGTTTCTTTCTGTGTGCATGCATGTGAAAAGTTGGAAACAGTTGGAGACTAGCTTCATGGTATATATAGTCTTTACCTAGCTTGTGAAAAGCTCTGGTTTCAATCCCCAAAATGTCAAAAGTTGTATACAGGACCATGACATCAATATAATTGTTCCTTATTGGGGAAAATACTTGTTTTGTCATAGGGTATTAATGACATTATTTAAAATGTTGTTATACTTTTATTTTGTGTTCATGTGAATTGGTTTATGGAGAGGGAAAGTGTTCCACAGGGCACATGTGGAGATCAGAGAACAACTTGCAGGAGTCACTCTTCTATCATGTGGGTTCTGGGGGGTGGAATTTAGGTCATCAGGTTTGGCAGCAAGTCCCTTACCCACTGACCCTTACCAGCCTTTCAATAAATAACATTTTAATAATGAAATAGATTTAAAGCTACTAACTTAAAAATCATCTCAGTGGTATTAGGTAAGAAATTAAACCTATTGAAAACAAATACAATAAGTCTGCCTAGGTTAAAAATATTAACTCTGCCAAGCAATAGTGGCAGATTGCCTCTTATCCCAGCACTAGGAAGGTAAGGCAAGAGGATTTCATGAGTTTGAGGCCAGCCTGGTCTGTAAAGTGAATTCCAGAACAGCCAGTACTGACAGTGAAACCCTGTCTCAAAAAGGCAAAACAAAAACCTCAAAATAAAAACCATTAACTCTGCATGTTTGCCTAGACTTAGAGATCTTGAATATATTTATAGATAAAAGCACACAGAAAGTATGGAAAGATACTAAGTTTCTGTGACAGAGTTTGGTTTGGGAAGACAAACAACTTTCATAAAGAATTTCTGAGGGCTGGAAAGATGTCTCAATGCTTAAGAGCACCAGCTGCTTTTTCAGAGGACCTGGGTTCAGTTCCCATCACCTACATGGAAGTTCACAGCTGTTTGTCACTCCAGTCTGGGGAGCAGATGTGGTCTTCTGACTGCTAAGGATGCTAGGCACATACCATACATGCGTACATACAGAAAAAAAACTCACATAAAATGTAAAAAATAAAATAACATTTGAAAAAAATAATTTTTGAAACACTTTTGGTTAATAAAGAGAATAATGTATAAATTTAAGGATTGTAGTATAGTTCTATTTTTCTATGATAGTTTTATAAGATCTGATGTCCGATAGACTATGAATAGTCAACATTGCTTTTAGAGAAAGGATCTCCCTAGGTAATCCATATGGGTTAGAATTTAGGATTCTTTTGCCTCAGTTCCCACATGCTGGGACTATAGCCATGTTCTACCATATCTGGGCTGTGTAAGTTTTTAGACATTCAAATTTGAAAAAAATCTAATTTGTATGTAAGTTCTCAAAATGGGCTTTAGTTTGCATGTATGTATTTATGTTTTGGCAAAACAGTTTAAATTGAATCTCTTCATTTTAGAATGGAGGAAGAGTTGTTGTTCCTGATAAATCGTCCCTGGAGTTGCTCTGTCAAGGGTGTTCTGGTGATATCCGAAGTGCAATAAATAGCCTGCAGTTTTCTTCTTCGAAGGGTAACTAACTAGAAGACACATTCATAGAACAGTGATAGGTTACTTTCTCTTAAATAGTCAATGAAATAAATCAGATTAAACCTCTGTGTAGTGCCTAGGGATCAGTCCCAGGGACTTCCCTATGGTCGGCAGGTATTCCACTGAGCTTTCTATTCTCAGCCCAGGCTAGACATGTAGTGGTCCCTCCTTATCTGTAGTTTAGTTGCCTGCTGGCAGAACTCTCTGAAAATTTTAATAAAATATTCTAGAAGTAGATTAAGTCATAACTTTTAAATTTTACATTATACTGACTACTGACAAGGTCTTCCAGTGTTACACACCTTTAATCCTAGCACTCGGAGGCAGGGGCAGGCAGATCTCTGAATTTGAGGCCAGCCTGGTCTACAGAGTGAGTTCCAGGACAGACAGGGCTACGTAGAGAGACCCTGTGACAAAAAAGAAAAGAATTCTGCTGTCCATCCTGGGAAGCCAATCATCTCTGGCGTGTGTGTGTGTGTGTGTGTGTGTGTGTGTGTGTGTGTGTGTGTGTGCGCGCGCGCGCGCATGTGCGCGCGCTGTAGACCAGAACAACTTTCCAAGTTGGTTCTCACTTTGGAACGCTTAGCTGGGCAAATCCTACAGCATAGGTATTTTTAGATTTATAGTTTTTTCCTAATTATGTCTCTGTGTGGATATATTCACTTGAGTTTAGGACTTGTGGAGTGCAGATCCCCCGCATGCTTACTGTGGCATGTGCATGTGTTCATCACACACACAGGCATACACACAGGCACACACACAAATATTTGTTTAAAAACTGCTTCAAGACAAAACATGATTCATTTACATACAGGCTTGGTACTGCAGTTTTCTTTCTTATTTATCTATCTATCTATCTATCTATCTATCTATCTATCTATTTATTTATTTATTTATGGTGTGGTGTTTTGGCTAGGTGAGGATGCCGGATGCCCTGGAATCAGACTTACAGACAGTTGTGACTGCCATGTGGGTGCTGGGTCTTCTGGGAGAGCAGGCAGTTTTCTTAACCACTGAGCCATCTCTCCAGCCCATCTTAATTATTTGTAATGTGGCTCAGGAAAGTCTTGGCTGGGCAATATGAATGATTACATCTTTTTGCTTTCATCTTCTTGCTTTTTACTTAGGGGTTGTGTTAAGATTAAATGAAATAACATTTGATTATCATGGTACTTGATATATATGAGGACCTCTATACATGATTCATAGGTTTTCTTTTTTGTGTTTTTGTTTCGTTTTAAAGATTTATTATGTATAGAGTGTTCTCCCCACACACCAGAAGAGGGCATCAGATCTCATTACAGATGGTTGTGAGCCACCATGTAGTTGCTGGGAATTGAACTCATGACCTCTGGAAGAGCAGCCAGTGTTCTTAACCCCTGAGCCATCTCTAAAGCCCTGTTCATAGGTTTTAAAGTATTGTACTTCATTACATTTACTTTTGAACTTTTTCATAATAATTTCTATATATAATAACTTTATTCCCTCCATTAGACAAAAAGGATTGATAAACATGACATAATAAAGCTTAGCTCCACTAATAATGATGAGTTATGTTTTTATTCTAGTAATTGTAAAAGACTGCATAGTACTTACTGTAAGCATTTAACAAGCTGTTCACATAGCATTAAAGAATTGACTTCAAAATAGAAACTATCTGTTGATCTCTCAAAATCCATCTAAAATCCTGGTTTTCTTATTCACAATTGTAGCAACTGTTATTATTCAACTTATTCACAACTGTTCTCTGTTTGTGTGCTTAATAACCATAGAAAAACGGTACATTAACACAGCTAAAACTAGTCTGTATGCAGCCTATTCCTGTGGGAGTATAAGATCTGTAGATTCGGTACAGGAATTAGATGTCAGAAATCTAATGTGGGACAGTCTGAGATCCTAGGTCATTAACACAGTACTGTTCTGAACTCGAGGAAAATAATATTTACCACCATTTATGGGAGCAATTATAAAATTCATTTTCTTTAAAGATTTATTTTTTATGTATGCAGTGTTGTATGCCTGCAGGCCAGAAGAGGGCACCAGGTCTCATTATAGATGGTTGTGAGCCACCATGTGGTTGCTGGGAATTGAACTCAGGACCTTTAGAAGAGCAGGCAATATCTCTTAACCTCTGGGCCATCTCTCCAGCTCCCTTCTCTGTGGTTTTGGAGCCTGTCCTGGAACTAGCTCTTGTAGACCAGGCTGGTCTCGAACTCACAGAGATCCACCTGCCTCTGCCTCCCGAGTGCTGGGATTAAAGGCATGCGCCACCACCGCCCGGCTAAAATTCATTTTTTTATTACATAGATTTATTTGGGAATGTGTATGTGTGTATGTTGGTACATCATGTCATGGTGTGTGAATGGACATTAGTGGATGATTTGAAGGGTCATTTCACCTTCCATGTGGGTGCCTGGAATCAAACTGAAGCTCTCAGGCTTACTTAGCATACCTCACTGACCCTTTACTTATAATAACTATCTGCTGCCACCATAGAATTTCTATGAGGGTAAAATTAGTTACCGTGTAGCATCAATCAAAAACAGTACCTTACATAAAACACTGTGAAAAAGGAGGTGATATGGTTATAGTACTGTGTTATTAAGTTTCTGGAAATTTGTAATGCCATGAGATACTATTTTTATGGGGTTGGGATTATAAGATATTTTATTTTATTTTTTAATATATTTTTTAAACCAGGTGGTGGTGGTGGTGCATGCCTTTAATCCCAGCACTAAGGAGGCAGAGGCAGGTGGATCTCTGTTCGAGGCCTGGTCTACATAGTGAGGTCTAGGACAGGCTCTAAATCTATAAGAAACCCTCTCGGAAAAAAGAAATTAAGAATTTATGTGTATGGGTGTTTTGCCTGCATATATGTGTGTGTACCACATGTGCTTGGCACCCATAGAGACCAAAAGAGGGCATCATATTTCCTGGATCTTGAGTTATAGATGGTTATGAGCTGCCATGTGGGTGCCAGAAATCAAACCTGGATCCTGTGGAAGAGCAACAAGTACTCTTAACTGCTGAACAATATCTCCAGCTCCTAAGAATTTAAATGACATTTATTCCATTTTAATAGTTAACAACAAATAGGATTCTTCACTAAGGTCATATTAAGTTACTGCTTGTTAGAAAAAGTTTTGGTTAGAATATTGAGTATAGGTATCTGAAATAGTCTTAGTTTTTATATTTTGATTTTTTAAAATATCATTTGGATGTGCATTATTTAGGAGAGAACAGTTTATGGTCAAAGAAAAAAAGAACGTCACTGAAATCGGATGCTGCTGTATCGAAATCAAAGCAAAGAAAGAAATATAATAGTGCTTTGGAAAATCAAGAGATCCAAGCGATTGGTGGAAAAGATGTTTCTCTCTTTCTCTTCAGAGCTTTGGGGAAAATTCTGTACTCTAAAAGTAAGAAACATTTTTGCATTTTTTTCATTATATGTAGTACTCTCACTTCAGAAATAAGATACTGTGTGTTTTGAAATGCCTTGTATTTTGTTTTGTTACTGGAAGGAGCTAGGAACCCTGCCAGATATTGCAGAGCCAGTGCTAAAATGTAACAGGAAAATGTTTTCACCTATATGGAGCATTTTCTACGACTATAGGTCATAGTCATAGTTCTAGTTTCCTGAGGACACAAATCCAGTAGTCCTCAATCTGTGAGAAGTGACCCTTTCTTTCATAAGGGTCACGTAAGACCATCGCAAAACACAGATGTTTACATTATGATTCATAACTAGTAAAACTACAGTTATGAAGTAACAATGAAATAATTTTATAGTTAGGGGTCACCACAACATGAGGAACTATATTGAAGGGTTGCAATATTAAGAAGGCTGAGAGCCAGTGCTCTAGACCTTTAGTGGTAAAAGTTGGTAGCCCAAAGCAATTGTAATACTCAGCTCCAAATACTGGGTCCTGACCAGGGGCTAAGCAGCTTCAGGTTTCTTTGGCTTCTCTTCACTAACATGCTGTCCTCATAACTGCAGGTGTCTGTTGCTCTCATCTGTCTTCTTATTTGTTCCATTTAGCCTTTCCTCCCCTCCCCTCTCAAACTTCCCCTCCTCTCAGGAAAATCCCAGACGTCTGTTCTCTAAACACTAAATACCAATAGGATTCTGAAGGGAGAGAATGATTCTAAAGTGGAAATGCCGTGTCAGGAAAGTCTGGTGAAAATACTCATCTGCCTCTTGGCCTCCTTTCCTTCCAGCCTCAGTGCCCATTCTCACCTAGTTCCTTCCTTCCACCATTTCTTCATTCCCAGTGTTCACTTCTAACCTCTGCATTGAGACCTAGCTTTCCTGTTCCTGAAGGTGGAATAGCCTCTTCCTACATAGCAAATACAGCACTTTAGCCTTCCATCCTGACAGAAGGCAAAGGGAGAAAACACCCAGAGCTGAAAGATGAAATGGGAAGTGCTTTGAGACACTTTGTGTCCGTTTTTAAGTTCAGGAAAACACACCAGCTGGACACACCTTTAATCCCAGCACTTGGGAGAAGAGGCAGGTGGATCTCTGTGAGTTCAAGGCCAGCCTGGTTAACAGAGTGAGTTCCAGGACAGCCAGAGCTACACAGAAAAACCCTGTCTGGAAAAACAAAGCAAAACAAAAAACAAGATCCATAATTTAAACATCACAATTCTGAATTTTGCCCTTGTTAGTGATGGTAGTTAAACTTGTTTGTTTTGATGTTTTGGTTTTTAATTTTTAACAACTTTCTTAGTGTTTTGAAATTAATATACCTAAAGTATTGAAAATCAGGTCATGAAAGCGCTGTGATTGGAAAGATGACTTTAGCTTTAGTAACCCCAGAGGTTTTCTTACAGGAGCACCTTTAACAGAATCAGACTCACCCCGCTTGCCTGCCCACCTCTCAGAGCATGAGCGGGACACCTTACTTGTTCAGCCCGAGGTAAGGACTTTTGTAACACTTGGACTTGGCTTAATATGTGTTATCTATGTGCCTAAGCGTCTGTTCATTGCAATTGCACCAAAATTTATATATTTATGCCTCTTTTTATAGGAAATAGTGGAAATGTCACATATGCCAGGAGACTTTTTTAATTTATACCTTCACCAAAACTACATAGATTTCTTCGTGGAAGTGGATGATCTTGTGAGAGCCAGTGAATTTCTGAGCTTTGCAGATGTCCTCAGTGGTGACTGGAATGTAAGATCATTTGACTTAAATAGTTTTATATTTCTTCAGGAAAAAGTTGAGTTTTATCTCTATTTCATATATGTTGTGACTCTCCTATTGTGCTAGATCTAATTATTTAAGCCAGTGTTTATGATAAAATCTCAGGTTATTTGAGTTTTCTGATGATATAAAGCACTATTTTTTCTGATATTCTTTTCTAATTTTATTTATATTACTTTTTTATGTCTATGAGCTTGATGTCCATGGAGGTCAGAAGACATTGAATCTCCTGGAACTGGAGTAATAGATGGTTGTGAACCACCATGTGGGTGTTAGGAACCAAACCTGGGTTCAACAAAAGCAACACATGCTCTTAACCACTGAGCCATCTCTCCAGCCTCTGTTTTCTAATTTTAAAGTTAACATATACTCAGACTGTTTTTAAAAGATTTCTTTTTAATTATGTATAGATGTGTGCTTCATGCATATATGTGCACTCTGAGTCTGGGGTTACAGACAGCTCTGAACTGCATGGGTCTGGGTGCTGGGAGCCAGACTCAGGTCCTCTGGAGGAGCAGCAAGTGCCCTCCTTAAGGAGTCAGTCACTGACAAAACAGATTTTTGTTTTTAAAATAACTCTAAAATGTGTATCAGCTGGAAGTGTGCCTCTGTGGTAAAGCATATGCTTAGGCGCACAAAGCCCAGATTTGACCCTCCATACTAGAAAGTCACCTGTCATTTCTTTCTCATTAACTTGGGGGTATCAGAGGACAGCTCTGTGGAGTCGGTGCTCTCTTTCCACTTTTTTGTAGGTTCTTATTAAACCCACAGTATCATCACACTTAATAAAGTTGCTGTTAATTTAGTTACTATTAATTTAGCTTGAGCATAATGGTACACACTTGTAATTCTGCTACTCAGGAAGGTAAGGCAGGAGGTTTCAAAGTTAAGACTAGCCTGGCTTACTTAGGAGACCTTGTCTTAAAAACCAACAAAACAAAAATAGTTTAGTAATATGCTATCATTTTCTCCCCCCTTCCCTCCCCGGAAACATGGTGTCTCTGTGTAGCTCTGGCTGTTTTAGAACTCGCTCTGTAGACCAGGCTGGCCTCGAACTCAGAGATATGACTGCCTATGCCTCCCAAATGCTAGGATTAAAGGTGTGCACCATCACCTCTGGCTGTTATCATTATTTTCTAGTTGCCCCCAAAATGTTTCTCCTGACCCTACCAAAGCCTTTCCCAACTCCACCAAAGTCTACTCAGTACATTTGTTTCCCTGTTCCAGTTGAATTTGTCTTAAGTAATTTTATAGCAATATTTTTAAGGCTTTGAGGATATTGGGAAACATATGCAAACCAACTAAGCATAGGGGATCTTAATCTGTGTCAGTACTACCAACAGTAGAATTTCATGTGTTGTTTCACATCTTGTCTCTCCTGCTAGACACGGTCTTTACTCAGGGAATATAGTACATCTGTAGCTACGAGAGGTGTGATGCATTCCAATAAATCCCGGGGATTCGCTCACTGCCAAGGAGGAGGATCAAGCTTTCGACCCTTACATAAACCTCAGTGGTTCCTAATACATAAAAAGGTAAAAAAAAAAAAAAAAAAAAAAAAAAAAAAAAAAAATTTTAAATTATAATCCANTTTAAGCTATAATCTCAGCACTGCTGGCTGAGGTGAGAGGATTGTGAATTCAAGTCCACCTGGGACTCTACATAGGGAGACTCTATATACTGTGAACTTCATTATGTATGCATTGTATCTCCAAGCGGAAGTTTGGTTTGTTTGGTTCAGTTTTTAGTTAAAGAGTCTTGTGTATCACTGGTTGTCCCTGAACAGCTTCTGATCCTTCTATCCTGTGCTGCCTTGCCAAGCTTATTTTCTTAACACCTAAAGTGTGTGTGTGTGTGTGTATGTGTGTGCACACGTGCACTCGCGCATGTGCTAACCACTTGATGGCTCACAACCATCTGTAATAAGATATGGTGCCCTCTTCTGGCCTGCAGACATACATGCAGACAGACCATTGTAAATAAATAATAATAAATAAATATATCTTTATAAAAAAAGTCTAAAATTGAATAAACTACAAAATTAAACCTTAGGATACAAATTTCAGTAAAGAGCAGGGCAGTGGTGGCGCACATCTTTAATCCCAGCACTCAGGAGGCAGAGGCAGGTGGATCTCTGTGAGTTTGAGGTCAACCTGGTCTACAGAATGAGTTCCAGGACAGGCTTCATAGCTACTAAGAAACCTTGTCTTGATAAACAAAGCAAAAACTATTTTTTTTTTTTCAGAGAAGAGCGGTGAATTTGCGGTTTGTTGCACTTCCCCTTGATTGCACTAGTTGTAGTAATTACAGTAATGCACAGTCACACGTTACTTGGCACAGAGACGCAGCCTGAGAACCTCACTGAGTTTTACCATTGTGTAACCATCATCGGTGTTCTCATCAGACAGGCAAATTGTATATACAGGTCAGACACTGAGCAAGGACTGTCCCTTCCATGAAAACACCTGGTAATGCACATGTGTGAGCTGCTGCGGGGTAGTGGGATATTGTTAGGTAATGCTAGGACAATTATAAACTGCTGCTTACATAACTTTTTAAAATTGTGTGTCTGTGTGTTGGGGAGAAGACCATAGAGATCAAAAGACAACAGCTTGAGAGATTCAAGGGATTCAGTTCAGGTCTCAGGCTTGGCAACACCTTTCTATCTCTCTAGCCTCAGATAAATGCTTTAAAGTATGTTTATACACTCAGAGGGAGGAATCCTATTTGGAGACCAACCTGGTTGCATGAAAAAAAAGTATCTTTATGGTACATAAACTTAGTCTTTGTGGCATAATAAACTTTATCTATGAATTCATAACCACTTTTGTTTGATTTGGTTTTAATTTTTTTATTAAACTTTATTATTAATAAACTTTCTTCTTTAATATTTATTTATTTATTATGTATACAATATTCTTTCTACGTGTATGCCTAAAGGCCAGGAGAGGGCACCAGACCTCATTACAGATGGTTGTGAGCCACCATGTGGTTGCTGGGAGTTGAACTCAGGACCTTTGGAAGAACAGGGACTGTTCTTAACTGCTGAGCCATCTCTCCAGCCCCGATAAACTTTCTAATAAATAAAAATATCACACACCAAATTAACCAGACCCAAAGTATTAATGAACTTATATAAAGTTAGAATTGGCATTTGTTTGAAACAGGATTTCACTGTGTAGCTCTGACTGGCCTGGAACTTGTTATGAAGATGAGGGTAGCCTCAAATTCACAGAAATCTGCATGCCTCTGCCTCTTGAGTGCTGGAATTAAAGTAATCAACATGCCACACGTATAACCATCTTAAAATTTTATTTTCCTTTCATTGTCTTTCTCTCATACAGTATCGAGAAAATTGCCTGGCAGCAAAAGCCCTCTTTTTTGACTTCTGCCTACCAGCTTTGTGTCTTCAGACCCAGCTCTTGCCGTATCTTGCTCTGCTGACCATTCCAATGCGAAATAAAGGTAACGTGTTTCTTTCCTGTAGAGAACTTGTTACCTATTAGCTGTAGCATCCACACCCACGATGCTTTAGTCTATAGGGACTGACATCTGGTTTTCATTCCTTCTAGATTTTTGTCTGAATTGTACTATGAGGAATAGCTTTGATTCTTTTTCATTGGTTTTCATTTTTGGTATCTATTGATAAAGACTCTGGGATCTTCGGTTGCAGCTCCTCACTATCATTATTTTGATCTCAGATTGTTCACAGTGGACTAGTTGATGCTGCTTTAAGCTGTGGTTTTATTTCCTTTTATTACTATTTTTTAATTATGTGTATGTGTCTGCGTGTGGGTATGTGCACATGGATGCACATGCAGTCAGAGGGCAGAAAGGATGTTGGAGCTACAGGTGGTTGTGAGTTGCCTGATGTTGGGAACCCAATTTGGGTCCTCTGCTGTAAACATGCTTAACAGCTGAGCCATGTCACTGGAAACTCAGTGTCATTTCTAAGCTTTGTCTATAAAACAAAGCTAGACAAATTTGTGTGTCTAACATAAGTCCATAATAGAACATCTAGTTTCTACCTAGCCCGACAGTGTTTATTCTAACCCTTTCCCTTTCCATATCTGTATTTCTGTTGTGATTGTTACTGTTTTGTAGGGCTGGAGGCCAGACTTGATTTTCTTTGATTACAAGTACTTGGAATCAAATTGAGGGCCTTCCTTGTGCAAGCTAAATGAATTTGTATCACTGAAATATATTCCAGATATACCTCCCCCTTTGAATAATGAAATTGCCTACCATTTTTCTAGATGTATTTTCTTGTGTGATCATTATACACATATGTACTTTTTATGTATGTGTCGGTGTGTGCATGTGCACATAGAAGTCAGAAGACAACCTCAGGTGTTGTTCCTCAGCTACTATCCACTGTTTTTTTCTTTTTTCTTTTTTTTAAATCCAAGACAGGGTTTCACTGTGTAACCCTGGCTGTCTTGGAACTCACTCTGTAGATCTGGCCTTGAACTCACTGTAGATCTGTTTGCATCTGTCTCCCAAGTGCTCGAATTAAAGGCGTGTACCGCCACAATCTGGCCAAAAAATTATTTTTAATTGACAAATTTAAACTGTATATGTTTATGGTATATGTGACATTTTCATGCGTATATGTATACCTTATAGAATAGCTAAACCAATTTTTTTTTTTTTTTTGGTTTTTTTA